TCAACTATTATAATTACACAATTATTCAGTGTGTGAATTAACAGTGTGCAACTTTCAACATAGTTTTGCCAAAATATAAAAATGCACATAAATTTTAAATCACATTCCAAAAAGAAAATGTCATGCATTGATTACTAGCATACCAATTGGCCTTGCTTGTGAAGTGACATCAATATAAATGTGATAAAATAATCCAAAGCTTTGCTTTACACAAAGAAGGTTTATTTAACAGCATCAACTTAACACAAAGCAGGCACGTGTAGAAGGAGCGCCATATATAAAGTAAGACAGGAAAGTTATAGATTATGGAACACGTGATTACATGACGTAACTATTATATTCTAACACTCCCACTTAATAGTTACATATTGTTCCAGTGTTCTTTAACAAGATTGAACGTTCAATAAATTTCTGAGTTTTTGGAATTGATCTTTAGATAATCCCTTGGTCATTATATCGGCTATCATATCCTTTGATGGACAATAGCAAACTTTTACTTCTTTAGATAATATTCGTTTGCGAACAAAATGGTAAGCAACATCGATATGTTTAATTCTGTTATGGAACTTTGGATTTCGTGCGATTTCGATAGCACCTTGATTGTCTTCGTGAACAGTAGTGGGCGACATTGGTTTAGATCCCAAGTCAGACAACAATCGTCGTAACCAGATTACCTCTTGGGTAGCTTGGCTTAGGGCAACGTATTCAGCTTCTGTTGTCGATCTGGCGACGGTACTTTGTTTCTTGCTAGACCAGCTAATCGTTGAGTTAGCTAACTTAAAAACATATCCTGAGGTTGATCGACGATCATCCAAATTACCGGCGTAATCAGCATCCGAGTACCCATTTAATTCGTCATTTTTATCACGACTGAATTTCAAACCATAACTCATTGTCCCTTTTATGTACCTCAAAACTCGCTTCACTCCTTGAAAATGAGTTTTGCTGGGATCTGACATAAACTGTGACAGGACTCCGATAGATGCAGCTATATCTGGCCTCGTGGCCGTGGAAACGTATGTCAAACAAGCAATCATCTGCTGGTAAACACTCTGATTGGATTGTTCCTCACCATCGCATCTCTTTTGAAATTTCTTCCCAGTTTCAATCGGTGTGTGGACTGGATTGCTATTTTCCATTCCAAACCGATTCAGGACACTTTCCAAGTATTTTTCCTGATTTATGAATATTTCCTTTGTCGTTCGATCCCTTCTTATTGACATCCCGAGAACAAAGTGAATTTCTCCTTGATCCACCATTTCGAATCCTTTGCAAAGCCTTTTCTTCTCAGCATTCAGCATTTCGATGTCATTAGAAACTGGGATTATGTCATCAACGTAGATTGCCAGTATCACAAAACTAATGTGACCATGTTCCTTTCGTTCAGTCTTCGTGTATATGCAGCTGTTTGCACCACTCTTTCTGTATCCGTTTAAAACCAAGAAACTATCGAGGGTTTGGTTCCAACAACGTGCGGACTGTTTTAAACCATACAAACTTTTCTTGAGTTTACAGACATAATTGGGGTGTTCTTCGTCAGCAAAGCCTTCGGGTTGAGTCATGTAGATGTCATGATCAATTACTCCGTTTAAGAAAGCGGTCTTTACGTCCATTTGATGTATCTCTAAATCATGCAAATTTGCCAAAGCGAGCAATGTCCTGATGCTGGAATACCTTGCTACAGGTGAGAAGACTTCTTCATAGTCAATACCATGTGTTTGGGAGTAGCCTTGTGCTACGAGTCTTGCCTTATATCGGTCGATATTGCCATTGGCGTCGCGCTTGACCTTCATCACCCATCTCGATCCAACTATATTGCCATCTTTCGGTGGCGGCACCAATTCCCATGTTTCATTCGTCAACAGAGAATTGTATTCTGCTTCCAATGCGAGTTTCCACTTTTCTTTGTTAGCACTTGCCATTGCTTCTTTTAGAGATTGGGGTTCATCATTTTCAGACGTCAACGAATTGGTCAGCAAACATTCATCTGGACGGAATGTAACGGGGGCTCTTCTCTGTCTGGTAGGACCAATGTCTTTTACCTGACGCATAAAATTTTCTTCGTAGGTATCTCCCACTGAAGGTATATTCTCTACTGGATCTTGTGTACCAGGATTTTCTGGATTGGCTTCAGGCTCTTCATCTTCTCTTGTTTTGCAGATGAAAAAATGGGTGCTATTAGAGCAGCTGGTGTCTTGGAAAGAATGAAACTTATTTTCATGGAATAGGACATCTCTGCTTCTGATGAATCGCTCTGCCTCTAATACATACAACTTGTATCCCTTAGTATTCCGAGGATATCCAACAAATATTGCTTTCTTAGCTTTGGGTTCGAGTTTGGTTCGTAGACTATCTGGGGTATGTACGAAACACACGCATCCGAATACTTTTAAATTTGAAACATCTGGTTTCTTTCCGAACCATCTTTCAAATGGCGTTTCATTCTTCAGGGTACTTGTTGCACTACGATTATGTAAATAAACAGCAGTATTTATTGCTTCGGCCCAAAAATGGAGTGGTAATTTGGCATGGTAGAGCATTGAGCGAGAAATTTCTAGTAGTGTTCTGTTTAGTCTCTCAGATACGCCGTTCTGCTCTGGGGTGTGGGGATTGGTAAGCTGGTGTTTGATTCCTTTCTCCACACAAACTTGACGAAATGATTCCGAGGTGTACTCTCCTCCATTGTCAGTTCTAATTGACCCCACTTTATAGCCTGATTCATTCTCAACCAAGGACACGTATTCTTTGAACTTGCACGTTACTTCCGCCTTTCGTTTAATGAAATATACTGTGACGAATTTGGTGTAGTTGTCAGTGAACGTTAGTACATACTTGCTTCCACCCATAGATGCGACATTCATTGGACCACAAAGATCACTGTGAATTAATTGAAGTGGTTGGCTTGTCTTGTTGATGCTTTTCTTCGGAAAAGGTAGCCGATGCATCTTTCCCTGAGCACAAGCTTCACACTCTTTGTTGAATTCATTACTTGAACATTTCAAACCTTCAACTAGCTTCCCTTTAATCATCTGATTTAAGCAGGAGTAGTTCATATGACCATACCTGCAATGCCATTTCTCCAATAAAGGCATATCAGTACAAGCTACTTGGGCATATTCATGTGTATTCATCATATACAGCTTGTCTTCAATGATATGTCCAATGGTAATACTTCTGCCATCTTTCGAAACAACGCATCTTCCTTTATCAAACAACACTTCGGCTCCAAGCCTAGTCATGGCAGGTACAGATAATAAGTTCTTCGAGATTTCAGGCACATACAGCACATTGCTTAGGGTAAGAGTAATAACATTAGATCCATCATAACAGGGAATTTTGACCTTTCCTTCACCATATGCATCAATTGTACTATTGTCACCAAGGTATATCTTAGATGGCATCCCATACTCACTATAGTCGAGGAGTTGATCGACTTGAAAAGTCATATGTTTTGTTGCTCCACTGTCAATGAACCAGTTGGTGTCTTGGTCTTTACTACTGGCACTTGAGTAGGAATTAAGAGCAATGTTATCAAAATGTTGTTTCTTTCCATCTGTTTCTGCAATGCTTAAGTGATGACTTCTACGATTGAGTGGGCAATTCTTCATCACATGGCCAACTTTTCTACATTTGAAACACGTCGGACCTTGACTTGATCCAGATTCGTGGTGCTGATTCTCTTTGAACTTGCCAACATTGCGATCACCTTGACCACGTCGATTTCTTCCACGAGACGACCAATTACCTCTTTTAGAAAATAGTGCTTCATTTTCATTTCTGTCACCTGAATTTTCACATTTGCGCTGTCTTTCTTTCTCTTCACGCTTCTTGTATTCTTCGATGAGTAAACCTTTCACATTGTCCCAATTTAGTTCATCCGGTTTGGTAGCCTTGAGGCTAGAAATAAAACTGTCGTATGACTGGCAAACTTCCAAGTACTACGGTTGCGAATTTCTGTGGCGTTATTTCTTCTCTTAACTCTCGCAATTGTTCTGCCAAAGACGTCATGTACGTTAGATGTGTCATTATATCAGTGCCTTCTTTCATAGTAGCGGCGTAGAATCGACGATTAAGTCGAACGATTTGTGTTATCGAAACACATTCAAACTGTTTTTGCAGGATTTCCCAAGCCGCGCGAGGATCTATTGTCGACGAAATATGGACTTGTAGGTCTTTCTGAACGCTGAGCGCGATTAACGAATATGCTTTGTCGGAACGCAGACGATATGAATTTCTTACAGTTGTTGTCGCCGTGTCATCCGGGGCAACCTCTGTTCCTTCAACAAATCCCCATAGACCACGCTCCATCAACACAAGCTTTATATTATACTTCCACGACTGGTAATTTTTGCCATCGAGGTGCTCTATTTTTGTAATCTCGGCCATCTTAAACATACGGCTGACTCGCGATTTTACTTCACAATTTATCCCTTATCGTGTCAATAATACACATACAAATTAGTACAGCTTCAACGACCGTTCTGGGCCCATAACCTGATAAAATAATCCAAAGCTTTGCTTTATACAAAGAAGGTTTATTTAACAGCATCAACTTAACACAAAGCAGGCACGTGTAGAAGGAGCGCCATATATAAAGTAAGACAGGAAAGTTATAGATTATGGAACACGTGATTACATGACGTAACTATTATATTCTAACAAAATGAAGTGACATCAATATGATGCTTCATTTTACCTTAATTTGTTTTCATTTTACTATTAATTATTTTCTTATTTAATTCACACACTGCTGTGAATAAAACATGTGAATTATTTAGGAATTGAACATTTATTAACATTGGAAATTGAATTGTTTATACATACATATGTACAAATATATTGTTAATTATTTCTTAATATTTATGTAAATTATTATTGTAAAAATATTATAATGATATAAATATCATATAACATGAGGTAATTTTTACATTTATTCAATAACAAAGAATTTATTAAATTAAAATAACAACAAGTAACACTTAACATGTAATCTTTAGTGTTCAATTATTTAATTTCTTAGTAATTTCAGACAAAGTGTGTAAGATGGACATAGTTACAACCTGATGGCTTTGTTGAAACTGCTGTTGTTGGGTAACCATTGACTTTATCAACTCCTCTTGCTGTTTCAATTGATTCTTCATAAGATTTAGTTCTTTTTCTCTTAATTCCCTTTCTTGTTCTTTTTCTTTCTTCTTTGTCTCAATTGAGGTCTTCATTAGTTCCATCACATCATAGTTTCGTCTTCTTTTTCTCTCTGGTGTAGCTAGTTCTTCATTCTCTTCATTTCGCCTTCTTCTTGTTTCCCCAAACTTCTCCATAGCTTTTCTTCTCATCTCTTCAGCACTTTCCTTTTCCTTGTTTTCTTTTTTCCTTCTTGATTTCTAGGGTCATTTCACATTCATTCATTCTCTCCAATATGTCAACCATTGCTCTATCCCTCTCAGTATACTCCACATCTATTCCACTTGCTCTTTCTTCCATTGATTCTTTTTGCTTAAATTCTTTAACAATCTTCTCAAACCGCTCCCTCACAGACCTTTGACTTGTCTTCATACCCATTTCAGTCAGGTTTGTGGAAATTTGTGTCCAAATGGCTCCTCTCTCCTTTGAACCTTGACGATGCTGAAATGGTTCAAGCAAAAGCACTTCTCGAAGGAGAAGTTCATCATGAATAGTCTTCCAAATACAAATTTCACGTTTACTTGGAGCATTTGTCATCTAAAATAAGCAATACAAAAATATTTAAAATAACATTTACACACTCAGAAATTATCAAACTTAACTTTTTATAGCAAAAATATCATTCGAAGCTTTCGTTGTGATAGAAAACAAGGAACTATTTAGAAATATTTTATCCTTTAAAATTTGGCTTATTAAAAGAACTTATAACTACAGCAAAATACTATCTCAGCCAAACAAGAAACAATTGACACAGAGTAATAACATGTTCTTGAATAAAAGTTTACTCTTCACGCAGCGTCCGAGTGTGTAGTGTCAGTTTTGGAATATTTTACACTATAATATATTCATGTTTATGTATAAATGCATAATTTTAATGCTGCCGCGTATAAGAGAGGCAGTCAACTATTCTTTGCTATACTGGAATAGTTGTTTACTCGTCGTTTTGTCTCGCAGATACATGAAATTTTCATGGTTTTATTTTTGTATAGAATTTAGACAAAAGCTCAAAATACACCCCTTAAGGGCAAGCATGGATGGTTTAACGTACTATTTTGATTTAATTTCACACGAAAAGACAAAAAATACCATCTTACATGGCTTTCAAAAAGTTCGTAGTCGCGACAACGAGTTTTTTAAAAATCTTCGTACTCAGATTGATGACGGCTACGTGTTTATGTTGTCGCAACAATGTTTTCGCGCCACAATGACGTAGTTCGTACTTGTAGTCGTAGTCGTACTGTTTGCTAAAACTCCCTATTGTTTATACAAGTCCCAGTTTGCATCGCAGATATTCAAATTGTTCTCTTGGTAATGGTTTCGTAAAAATATCTGCCACCATTTCCTTGTTTGGACAATACTTTATTTCGAGTGTTCCATCTTGAACTTTCTCACGCACGAAATGGTGTTTAATATCAATGTGCTTTGTCTGCTTGTGTAGCACTGGATTCTTTGAGATAGCGATTGTAACTTGATTATCTTTATGTATGGTTGTAGCCGCAGTACAATCTATTTGTAGGTCTTTCATCAGTTGTCGCAGCCATACTAATTCTTGGGTTGCATAACATAACGCAATGTACTCCGATTCCGACGTTGAAAGAGCCACTGTTGGTTGTTTCTTGCTTGCCCAACTGATTGCACCACCTGACATTATAAACACATTTCCGGAAGTTGACCGTCGATCGTCTGTGTCAGAGGCCCAGTCTGCATCAGAATATCCCTCTAAATCGATACTGGTTTTTTGGTACTGCAGGCTTAGTTTACAAGTTCCTTTCAAGTAACGAAAGATGCGTTTCACAGCTGTAAGATGTGCTTCGTTCGGTGCTGTGTTGAATTTAGCTAACGTTGTTACTGCTTGAGCTATATCTGGACGGGTAGCAATTGCCGCGTATATCAAACTTCCTACCATTGACTGATAATGCGAGGCATCGACTGATTTGCTGTGTCCATCTTCTTTAACAAGTTTGACGCTTACATCCATTGGCGTAGACACTGTCTTGCAGTCTTGTAATTTATACTTTTTCAGAATCTTGTTGATGTATTGCTCTTGATTAATTTGTAACACACCGTTCTTTGTAGTAATATCAACTCCTAGGCAGTAGTGGAGTACGCCCATATCTTTCATCTTGAATTGGTTTGCCAAATTGGCCTTTAGATCATTCATCTCTTCTTCAGTTTCAGTCAGAAGTATGAGGTCATCAACGTGAACAGTGATAATCGCCTGCTTATCTTTGAGAAAACGAATAAATACGCAAGGGGCTACTTCACTCTGAACAAATCCTAATGATAACATAAACTCTCTGAAAAGCTTATTCCAGCAACGTGGACTTTGCTTTAGACCATAAAGCGATTTTTTGAGACGACACACTAGCTTTTCTTTTCCTGGTTTTACGTAGCCTTCGGGTTGTTGCATGTATATTTCCTCTTCCAATGTTCCATTGAGGAATGCCGTTACTACATCCATTTGATGGATCAAAATACCTCGAGATACACCAAAAGCCAGAAGAGTGCGAATTGACGAAAAACGAACCACTGGAGAGAATGTCTCTTCATAGTCAATTTCATATTTTTGCAGAAAACCCTTAGCCACCAGACGACCTTTAAATCTCTCCACCTTTCCTGTCTCATCGTGTTTAACTTTAAAGACCCACTTGCAACTGATAGGCTTACGACCAGCTGGTAATTCGACTAATTCCCAGGTCTCATTCTCTAGTAAAGACTGGTATTCTGCATCTGCAGCAGCTTTCCATTCCGTTGCATATTCACTATTAAGAGCATCTTTTAGGGTTTCTGGCTCTGTGATCTCAAATACGTAAAGTGCTGCATACCTCGATGTAGTGATCCCAGCATACTCGTCGTGGTAATATATTGGTGGATTTCTCTCTCTTCCTGAGCGTCGAGGCTCATTTGGGGAATCTTGTTGTTCATTTCTGGTTGCACGAACTTGTCCCTTTATTTCTGTTTCTTCTTCAGCACACTCGGTAATATCTTCACCACACTTCATTTGAGCTTTTGTTGATCCAAAATCTGTTTCATTAAATGTAACGTCCCTCCGAATAAAGGACTTCTTGACTGCCTTTTGGTCGAATTTCTGGCGCACTGCATCAGGAACATGAGCATAAGCAGTACAGCCGAAGACACGAAAATGGGACACATTTGGCTTCTTTCCATACCATCTTTCATACGGAGTTACCGCAGTTGCAGTCGTAATGACTCGATTTCTAATGTAGGCTGCATTGCATACTGCTTCAGCCCAAAAAGCTTTGGACAGTCCAGCATGCAAAATCATAGAAAGAGCTGCTTCTTGGATTGTCCGATTCATGCGCTCAGCTATCCCGTTCTGCTGGGGTAAATGTGGCACTGTTGTCTCATGACGAATTCCTCTCTCCTTTAAAAAATCTTCAAACTCGGTGGATGTATATTCACCCCCATTGTCCGTGCGTAGTGTTTTTATCCTACACTCTGATTGGTTTGTGACTGCTGCCTCCCACTCCTTGAATTTTCCAAGCACTTCTGACTTGTGATTCATTGGATATACCGTAACACATCTGGAGTAATCATCAATGAACGTGACAAAATATCTTGCACCTCCAAGACTTTCAGTGTTCATAGGTCCGGCAACATCACTATGAACCAACTCCAATCTTTTGGTTGATTGAATATCTCCCACTGGCTTAAATGGTGTGTGGTGTGCCTTTCCTTCTGCACATGCCTCACAAAAGCTTGAATTGCAAGATTTAGGTATGTCCATACCTGTGATAAGTTGCTTTGAAGCCATAGTTTTCATTTGACCGACATTTAGATGTGCCATTCTTTGGTGCCATAGATCAAGTTTAGTGCCACTTTTATTAGCAACTGATGCTTGGTTTTCCGGTTTGTCAACTTTACAATCAAGTTGATACATGTTCCCAACTAGTCGACCGCGTGCTACAGCTTGCCCATTGGAGTTCTTTATCCAACAGAGACTGTGTACAAATTGAACCACTTTGCCTTTAGATGCTGCTGCACGTGCGCTAAAAAGATTTATAGCTATCTTTGGGACGTACAGTACCTTTGTCAAAATTGATTTCTGTTGATCTTTCTCTTTACGTCCAAGTATCATGGTGATGTCAACTTGTCCATGCCCATAAACATTTACATAGCGACCGTCTCCAAGTGTAACAGGTTCTGGCTTTGGGAACTCGCAGTAATTTACCAAAATATCGCGACTAGCTGTCATATGTTGCGAGGCTCCTGAATCAATTATCCAACAATTGTTTCCTTCTGTTGCTGTCACTCCCACGACAAACACATTGTTTCCATCACTATCCACCGAAGATGCTTTATGCTTTGATAAATTTCCCTGCTTGTTTCTATACTTATTCTCCCCTTTCTTTCTTTTGGGACAATTTTTGATAACATGGTTTTCTTCCCCACATCCATAGCATTTGATGGGCCTTCGATTGTTTTTATCATGCTTCAAAGCCATGTAACCTTTATCGATTTTGCCACAATCTTCCTTGCTCTTGTATAAGCTACGCTTTTCTTCTTCACTCATGAGTGCTTGATGCACTTGATCTATGCTAAGCTCATCTCCCTTTGCAGTCAATGCAGTTATTAGAGTGTTGCATGATCGTGGAAGGCTGAGTAAAAGGGCTACAATATGCTCATCTTCAGGGATTGATGCCTTGATGACTGCAAGTTGGTCAGTGATTTCCTTCATGTGACGTAGATGTTCAACCAAAGAATCAGAATCTTTCATTTTCATAGAAAAGAATTTCTGCTTTAACAGCAATTTGTTTGCCACAGTGTTTCTTTCAAAGCGTTCCTTCAATTTATCCCAGATTTCCTTTGGTGTTTGGCATTCTGTTATCAGATATACCAGATCCGTGTGATACTCGTTATAAGGAGGGCTTTTGTTTTCTTTTGTGCCTTTAAGAAGGCTATTCTTGCCCCTGAACTGCTGTCAGAAGCGGCTGGGTTAGTTGTCGATCCATCGACGTGACTCCACAATTCCCTCGATTCAAGTATAGCTTGCATTTGCTATTTCCACACTTGCCAATTCTTTGCACCGATAAGTTTGTCGATAAATAACTTGTCGTCTTGCGCCATTTCAACTGTTTTTAATCCACTAAACACTTCTTACTTTAATAAACAGTATTTCCAAGGGTACCTGGGCCCATAACCTGTTCGTATTACGATATATTTCAGCAGAGAAAACACTTTGAACATAAAAGTAAGTTTTATTACGATAAAAGAAAAACAACGAACGTCGTGCGAACGTACACATGCGCCCACCATATAAACTTAAACATAGTTTATAC